AGCCTCAAGCTGTCTCCCTGGGTAGAATACTATGGCATCACAGCTCACAGCAACCTCCAACTCCTGGGCTCAAGTGATTCTCCTACCTCCGCCTCCCAAGTAGTTGGGACTACAGGCGCCAGCCACAGCACCTGGCTATTTTTTGGTTGCAGCTGTCCTTGTTTGGTGGGTCCAGACTAGATTCAAACCCGCCAGCTCAGGTGTATGTGGCTGGCACCTTAGCCGCTCGACCTATATACCTCTTTCTTCAATACAAGTCCCTCCTAATATCTCTACTACTCACAACTATTTATTATTAAGATATAGACCTTTATACCATATATACTTTTTAAAAAAAGTGTGTTTATGTTGTGGGGGGAAGATTGGCAGAGAAAGAAAGAAAAGAAAGAAAAGAAAATTCTATCATTACTGTCTTTTACTTCTGGGCTTTATTACTAAGGTCCAGGGGAAAATACTTGCTCTTCCCTGTTCTATACACAAAGGTGAGGTGAATTCTCTCAAATCACAGAGGCTTCAAGATAGCACTATAAGAAAGGCAGTATGTGATCCACAGAAGCACCTCACTATGCCCATACTGTTATCAGCCATTCTCACCCAGTTGCTATTACATTTACTTGAACAGATTTTAAAAAATCTATATGCTCTGGGTCCTATCCCAAAATAGACAAATTAGGATCCCTAGGGAAAAAATGTATTTCTAAAAAGATACCCATGAGACTTTGATGTACTATCATGTTTGAAATCACTGATTTTCATACCATAAAATATCATGTCTAAAGTGAAATCTGCTTCATGTCCTAAAGAATACTTTGAAAGCTACTAATAATGCATCAAGATGCAGGTACTTCTAGCTATTGGTCGAGTTTAAAGAAGCAAATAATTGTTACAGATGTCATAATTTAAAGCATTTAATTAAAAAAAATTAAGCCACTGAGCTCTAAGAAAATGCATGCCATCTTTCTGAATATACTTAAATTAAGAATAAGTCACTGAAGATTTTCTATTATTTGCAATACCCATTTCTTAAAAAGTCAGCAGGGCTGAAAAATTGATTCTCTGTAATTAGAAGTTAGAGCTGTTGAGATTTTTTAACAGAGGTCACAAAGTCCATGTATTTTTATCATGAAATGTACTCAATCTCTCTTAAGAGCTAAATCTATTTTACATCCAACTCAAACAAACCTAGATAGCGTATTTACTTAGCACATGGCCTTTAGAAGCTGCCCATAGTAAGAAAGAAGAAATTATTGTCCCTTTTAATATCATCTGGAAGAGACCACTAGGGAAAAATGGGAAAAAAACAGATAAAATTAAAAAATTAAATACAACGTGTGCTCGTGTGTTTATAATTTTTATACACATATGCATGTAATGAACCAAACATTTGTACTAAATTTCAAGTTTGTTTTCTACTTAAATTTTGTTTAAAATGTTTTATTCTGTTATAAATTACCTCAAGGTTTGTCTAAGAAAGTAAGATTTTAAATAGGGGTTAAGGTAAGAGCGTTGTTAGAAGTCAAGTAAGTAGTAAATGAAATGGGTCAAGTTCTAGTTAGTGAATACTTCCAAGGACTATTTCCTGTTAGTACTAATTTTAGATCATCGAAGTTAAATTTAAAAAGTGAGAAAGTGCTTCTACATAGTTTATTTTTCTATTTTTCTCTCAATGTAAGTGAGCAGAAACCAATGTCTAGACTCTTAGAAGACAGAACAGTTAATCAACATTATTCATAAAAAGTATAATATAGTGTATATTAAGTGAATGAACTATAAATTGATATTAAGCACAGGCCGAAGTTTTAATAAATCTTTAAGATCAGAAGTAAAATGTACTTGGGTTTATCAGTAATTTTGTGTAAGACCATAGTTACAACCTTACCGAATATAAACAACTGCTTCTGCACTAAGAAATGCCACAAATCACTTGCAATTTAATAGATATGACCAAAAAACAATGTGTAGACCAGCAGTTCTCAACCTGTGGGTCACGACCCACCGGAACTGTATCAAAGAGCCACAGCATTAGAAAGGTTGAGAACCACTGGTGTAGACCATCTCTGCTTTTTAGTTTTCCCCACTCTCTCACCTTGAGAGGTGGTACTCTTCGCACCTGGGCCCTGTCCCCTCTATTGAGAAAGGGCTGTGGTGAGACCTGAAATGGCTGCTGGTACTGGCAATTCTCAATGACTCTTGGCCTCTTCTCCCAGCTCGCCGGGGCCTCTTCCTGGGTCAGAGAAGATTTCCTCTTGAGGCTTTCAGGGTTCTGATCAACAAGAGTTGCTGGAGGTTCTTTCAAAGTGGCCTCCTGTGGACCTGCTTCTGCGATGGGCTTTACTACTGATTTTTCCACCCCAGGACTCTTGGGTTTGCTTGCGAATGTAATTAAAGATTCTTGGCTTTCATTTCTGTTATAACTAGAAGCTGTGGTGAGATAATTCTCTTTCTCAGACTCCTGTTCAGCAGAGGCAACTGGCTTCTGCTCTAATAGACCTTCATCTTTTCGGCACTTGATGGGAAGAATGCTGCTAAGCTCATGGGTATTGCTGGCTGTGGGAAGTGGGGGCTCTGTGGATTTGGAGAAGTTTGGCTGCACTTTATCTCGGCTTTCGTGCTCTTCTTTACTGCCTGGTAATGGCACTTGCAATGCTGCCTCTTTACACTCTGACTGGGAGACTACTGGGACTATTTTGACAGGAGAGGCCTCTGAAGGAAGCATGGATTTTGGTTGCTCAGCTGGAGATTTCTTTACTTTGAGATCGTTGGGCGATGATGTTAATTTCTTTGAATCTTCAAGGCTTAGACCAGAACTAAAAAAGGAGAAAAACAAATATTCTATTTGAGAAATGGATCATGCTATCGAAGGCTTATGAAGTAATAGAATATGGTACATAATAGGTGTTCTTCATGCATTATCTTACTGTTGTTATTAGCAATAAAAGTTTCGGAGCCAGAGTACCTAGATTCAAATTCTAGCTCTGACAGCAACAGTCCACACGATGTTAAGCAAGTGACTAGTCTTTTGTACCTCAGTTTCTTCAACTATACACTAGTTATTTACTACACAGTGTTGTATAGATGATTAAGTTAATCCATGTCAAGTACTTACCTAGCCCATAATGGAAGCTCAATAGTGGTAGTAATTATTACTTCTGCTTATAAAGGGGCCACACTGTTTAAAGGTATGCATCCCTTACTACCTACAAGAGAACTAAAGGAAGCCCAATACCCATCCATTCTGGGACTGGGATCTGCTCTGCAGTACCTGTGGAAAGGCTGGACCAAGAAATCTAAGGGGACCTGAGGAGACAGTAGGACACTGGTTATCTATGTGTTCTCCAGAGGTTGAGAATTATAACTTAACTTTCTGTAAAACCTATTTAAATTCCACTTGGTGTAGGTCTAAAATTCTCAGTGTCTCTGAGCTATCAAGGGATGTAGGCCACTTGGGACTTCTATAGGGTGGCCTGGCTAAAAGCTAGGCTAATCTGTAAGGGTTATTCTTAATGTTTTAGAATACTGTATGACAGGCAAAAATCAATGGAGCCTCCTTTGGTGACTTCCTAGAATCAGTACTATGCCTCTGAGATAGAATGGTTGAAGGCAAAACTGGGCAGTAATTAAAAAGCCTTTTTTTTTTTTTTTTTTTGAGACAGAGCCTCAAGCTGTCCCCCTGGGCAGAGTGCCGTGGCATTACAGCTCACAGCAACCTCCAACTCCAGGGCTCAAGAGAGTCTCCTGCCTCCGCCTCCCAAGTAGCTGGGACCACAGGCGCCCGCCACAACGCCCGCCGGCTATTTTTTGGTTGCAGCTGTCGTTGTTTGGCGGATCCGGGCTGGGGATTCGAACCCGCCACCTTAGGTGTACGTGGCTGGCGCCCTAGCCGGTTGAGCTATAGGCGCCGAGCCTTAAAAAGTCTTTTTATGAAAGCTATTAATAATTACAACCAAGAACTATTGTAATGCTCTATCTGCCTAAAATGGAGGAAATAAATAATTATAGAATTATTGCTACCTATAACAATGGTCTAAATATATATTATTTAGACATTATTTCTATAGCTCAAAGCTCACATCAACAATATAGAAAAATCAGCTTATGAGATTCTTAATAGGGATCTTTCCTAAACAACTGTGAAGGTAAATGATAAACACTACTTAGAAACAAAGGAAAGAGGCCCTTAGTTCTCAAGCTGTGGTTATGTCATCTCTTTAAGGGCTGCCCCTTGGTATGCAGAAAAAAGAAGGAGACTACTAAGTACAAGCCTGGGTGTTCGATCCTATTTCAAATAAAACAACTCCATTATAATCTATTTAAATGTCCCTGCTATGGTTTCGTTTGGACTTGTTAGGGAAAAAACTGATTTAGACTAAGGATCCTTTAAAACAGGATTTGTATCTTGATCCACAGCTGTGTACATGTCCTAGGGTGCCTTTTACAGAGAAGACCCTGTTATTACGTGTTGAGTAATCTGTATTACAGGACTCCTGGGATTCCTCAGTGATCTGGATAGTTACATATCCATATAATAAGTTAACCATAAAAAACAGACAGAACTTTAGTATTCTTATATCTTATAAAGTTACTAGAAGAAAAGATAATCTATTTTTTTTAAAGGGACTCTTTAAATCAAGATTAGAAAAACAAAATTTTTTTTTAAAAAGAAACCACCCAACCCACAATAATATGTTATGGGTCTAGGATTGTGAGTAATCCAATTCTGTGTACCTGTGATTCATAAGGGGAAAAAACCTCTCTAAAGAATGGTAAAATTAAAAGAAAAAAAAAAAGGAAATTGAGAACTAGATTTCCTATTAAGGTAATAGATAAAGCAATCACGTAACAAATACACAGGAATTAGCTTCTGGTTTACAGAGCCTATCTTAACATTACCTTTGACCATAGTAGCTTTCAAAGAATTGTTCTTTCCATGGCTCCACTTTTTTCTCCTTCTCAATCTCTTGTCGAATTCTCACCTGCATCTCAGGTGTAAATTCACCTACAATGTACCCGAAAAAGGATAATCAAAAGAAAAATGCTGTTTGCAATGTTTACCTTTTTATAAATCATGAAAGACTCATGCAGGAATCAGAATACTATCATGTGTAAGTAACACACATTTCCCAAAGCTGTTCAATGTAAAAGAGGACCTAAATGCCATTATGTAAAATAAAAATACATTTGCACACCACTCCATGTAGCCACAGCCGAGACTAACAGTCTTTTCTCTGGACTTTTCCTACAGCACCTCCCTGGTGCTCCAAATAATCATATTCCACACAGATTTATTTCTAACTTTGAATTTCTATTTTCCACTGAAAAAGAAAGTGATGTGCTTTCAGTAAATAATTCTATCAGTCATTTTATTAAAGTTCTGTTTCTCCAAGACAAGTTGTATTTTAGGCCTTTTATCTAACTGCATAATGAAAAGCTATGGCCCTGCCTCAAACCATTTGAGATTCCAATAAAAAGCTAGGGAGGTTTTCTGATTTGTCAGTTTTCTATTTGTTCCAGAAATTGTACAAGTTTAGGGCCCTAGCAACAAAACACCAACACGCCAAAGACCCAGCTGCTCTGAATATGCCATTATTTGCATACACTACCAACCACCTCAATCCTTCCCACTCCATCAGCAGAGAACAGTGAATGTGCTTGGTAGGCCATCTTCAAACTTGTGGCTCAGATAGGCTGCTCCCTTTTATACTCTAATACCCAGGACATCAGGGAATAAGAGGTAGAAATGGCAGAATTTGAAGTTTAAGACCTCCTGGGGGTGAGAAGAAGGAAAGGAAAAGTGTTAGAGGACCGTGGACATCACAGTCGTGGGCAAAGGATTAGAAAAAGGGGGATCTTCAGAAACAACCCGGAACTTCTGCTGTTGAGTCTACTGTGCATCACAGAACAAAGAATGAATAGAAAGTACGGAATTCTATTCACTTATGTACAGTGTTCAAAGTTTTTGTTGCCTGCATGTTTAAAAAAAAAAAAGTAACATTGATGATCATGGTATCACTGTTGATAGCACCTGCCTACAAAAAAGTGGGGTTGGAAATAAATCCTTCATACCTACTTATACATAAAGAAAGGTACTGCTAGCTGATATTATCATGAAGTGCTTATATGATTTCAATTTTTTCAGAAAAAAAGGAGTCTCTGCCCAAGGAAATCTGTAAGAAAGAGAAAGAACCAAAGTAATCAGCAAGAGATTCCTTCTGCACAGAATTTGCTCTAGAACAATGGTTCTCAACCTTCCTAATGCCGTGAGCCTTTAATACAGTTCCTGTGGGTCATGACCCACAGGTGAGAATTGCTACTCTAAAAGAAGAGGATGCCCGTAGCACAGCGATTTCAGCACCAGCCATATACACCAAAGTTGGTGGGTTTGAATCCAGCCCAGGCCGGCTAAAACAACAATGATAACTACAAAAAGAAATAGCCTGGCATTATGGCGGGTGCCTGTAGTCCCAGCTACTTGGGAGGCTGAGGCAAGAGAATCTCTTAAGCCCAAGAGTTTGAGGTTGCTGTGTTGCCATGGCACTGTACTGAGGGTGACAAAGTGGGACTCTGTCTCAAAAAAAAAAAAAAAAAAAAAAGAAGAAGAAGAACCAGAAGAGGGAAAAAGTCAACTGCTGTGATGAACAACATATGACATATTAGCTGTTTATTTAATTATCAGGGATGTGACAGAAAGTAAGCAATAAATGGCATTCCTAATTCTCTCCTTATAAATGCATTTAAAGAATCTCCTACTTGTTTCAAGCTATTCTTTAGCGTAACTATATGTGACTTTCCCAGTGTCATTTTATTTTCATGTATATGGAAAAACAGATGTTGTATTTGAACTAAAAATAATACAGCCAGTGGTTTTACTTATGGCTGCATATAGAATTCACTTGGGAAAACTGGGGGGTGGTGGAGGGAGAAACCAAAGCACTAAAGTTTAGGCACCAACCTAGACTAATTAAAACAAAATCATTGACTGGTGCCTGGGCATCAGTATTTTTAAAATAACACAAGTATTTTTGAGCAGCTGCAGCCTAAAACTGCTAATATTGATAAATACTACATGCAGTGCTGACACCGTCAGTCAGTAACTTCTTTAGATTTCCTAATATGCTCTCAGTGAACTGTTAAATCAGCATTAGAAGTGTGGTACACACAGTAGATGAGTGATTATCACCAGTAATTCTGAGTCAGGATCCATTTTAAAAGTTCTGACTGCCAATTAACTGTATGCTTCAAATAAGTGAATTTTATAATATGTAAACTATATCTTAATGAAGTTGTTTATTTAAAGAATTTCTCACTGGTTCCTTTTACTGTCAGTGTTCTTGAGGTTGAGCAGTAATAAAGAGGTTACTTTACTGCTTGCCAAACTGTAATTCATTAAGTTATTATAAAATAACTAATTCTATACCCTGTTTATTAGGGAGCTTATTAAAATTCTAATCTAGAATTCAGTACTCTGGAATTATTGAGTCTAAATTTTTAGGTGTAGGGCCTAAAATCTGTATTTTTTTAGTTTTTCAATTGAGTTTATGTCATTAAAGAAACATTTTTGGAGTCCATCTACAATCAACCTGGTTATACAGGTTCCAGATAAAATTCTAGCAATGCGTTTCACATAGGATAGATAATTCTACCCTTTGGAAACATCCTGTCCCTTTACCTTCCAAAACTGCTCAAATACCTGATGAGGTGGAGAGGTGCCAATATCCTCACACAATGGCTTCCCTTGAATACACATCCTGGGAGATATACGAGGGAAAAACACTTACCTTCTGAGAGTCTTTCCTTCCAGCCTTGGGCTGCTGAAGTGAAGAATTCATTGTTAAGAGCAGAGCCATTTAACTTCATCAAACCATCTGGACCAACCTGAGTCAAAGAATAAGCCAAGGAAAGCTTACAAAAAAAAAAGGTATTGTATGGTACTTGGCTTTCCTTTAATTTTAGAAAAGACTGTATGTACATTTAATTTTATAGAGATGGGAGCATCTCATACCATGCTGCTTATTTTGGGACCCCTCTATTTTTAATGTATTATCACTGTGTTCTAAAACATTCTTTTCCTTTTTACTTCTCTTTTCTTCTTCTCTCCTTTCAAATCCATTCCCTAATAATTAAGAAACTGCTCACAGAACATAAATATATATTTTTTTCTTCCGAATAGCAATTTACTATTCATTTTATAGAAGTGGGACCAAGTTATATACAGTGCTCTGCATCTTAATTTACTCACAGAATACACTGGAGAAGTCTTTTCAAGTCATCTGGCATAGAACTGCAGTCCCTTTATAATGGCTGCATATTTCTGCGCTATAGGAATGTACCACAATTAATTCACCAGTTCCCTAACAATAGCCATATTCTTTGTTTCAGTGTTTTCCCCTAATTGAAAACGCTGTCAACAAAGAATCCAGAAGAGCTGAATATACTAGTGCTGGGATTTCTAAGGGAATACAATATAATAAGAACTGTCATAGCTGGCCACTTCCCTACGTTGACCACCTCCTGAAGCTGACCCAATTTTCATAGACAAGACGTGTACTACACATACATCAGTACAGTAGACCTAGTTCCTTATGTTGATCATCTTCGTATGCTGACCAGTTTGTTACAGTTCCTTGGGTTGGTCAACTTACAAAGGTTCTACTGTATTTGCAGAGCAAAGAATATTTGTATATAGACCAGCTACTGTCAGATTCCTCTCATAAAAGCTAAAACAAATGATATTGCTATAGGAATATATCTGCATATTCTTTTTTCTACCAATAAAAGTTGTTAATGTGCTATTTAATTTTTGCCAATAGATTGGGTTTAAAACAGAAATTTTCTTGACTACTGGAGTATTTGTGCATATTTTTGTATGTTTATTGAATATTTAGATTTGCTGTCTTGTGAATTGCCATTTCATGCAATTTTCTCATTTTCTAAAAAAATGGATGGGAAAACTTAATAAAATCAGAAATCTCTTCAACATTAATATCTACTTTTCTATCAGAAACCCCAGGGAGAATTTTCATGAAATGAATAGAATTATCTTAAAATTTATATGACAGGGAAAAAAAAAAAAAGGCTGGGCATGGTGGCTTACACCTGTAATCCTAGCACTCTGGGAGGCGAAGGCAGGCAAAGAGCCTGAGTTCAGAAGTTGGAGACCAGCCTGAGCAACAGTGAGACTCCGCCTCTACTAAAAATAGAAAAACTAGCCAGGTGTTGCGTTGGGCACCTGCAGTCCCAGTTAGGAGACTGAGGCAATGCCATGGGCACTCTACCCAGAGCAACAGAGAGTCTCAAAACAAAACAAAAAAAAAAAGGTGGCACCTGTGGCTCAAGGAGTAGTGCGCTGGCCCCATATACCAGAGGTGGTAGGTTCAAACCCAGCCCCGGACAAAAAAAAATAAGGAAAAACTGAGAGGGGTAAATTGACTTTGCAATTATTATACATAGCAAACAAAGTAACTACAATCAAAACTTCATTACATGGCATTAGAGTGAACAAAGAAATGAGTGGAGTACCTATAAGCATACACTATACACACAGACACACGGAACATATAACAAAGATGGTATTCCAAACAGTGAGAAAATAATGATTACATAAATGATACGAGATAGTGCTGGAACAACTGACTATCCACTGGGTAGAAAATAAAGTTAAGCCCTATATTGAAATAACATGCATTAGATGAATAAAAAACCCAAATGTAAATTTTAAGTAAAAAACAATTTTTTGAGGAAAATTGGAAACTTTTGGGGCATCCTGAGGATTGAGGAACTCTTTTTAATCTATTTTATTTTCCAAACCTATCTGGGTCAGTATTACTTCCCCGTTTGACTATATAGCAGAAATTGGTATGCTTTCTATAGAAGCTAGACTATAAATGCACATGGCCTGTGTTTCAGCTACTCAACTCTGCCAGTGTAAGCAAAAGTAGCTATGGATATACGTAAACTACCAGGAGTGGTTGTATGCCAATAAAATGTTACTTACAAAAAGAAGCATGGGCTAGAAACTGCCAGCAGGCTGTAGTTTGCTGACTGGTGATTAGCATTTTAGAGTAGGTAGAAAGGTAAGAGGCTTCCCTATAAGAGCAGTTCATCCAACATCTATTCCAACATTCAAATACTGAGCAAGGTACTACATTGCAAGTCAATCCATTCTGCTGTGCAATCCTCCAACCATTAAACTGTTATTTTTAACTCCAAATCTGCTTTCTGGCCAAACAAAGAAGTATATCTCTCCTTCAAATATATCAGGAGAGGTATTCTAAATCAAACCTCTCCTATCCTATTTTGGTCTAAATATGTTTCTAATGTTAATTGCTGTATCCACCATTCAATGAAATATAGGTTCTACCTTTTCATCCTAGTGACAATCAGAGTTCCTCACCCTTTTCTTTTCATCTGACAGTGAAGCTGTAAAATCATTGTCATATATGTAAGGGCAACATTGCTCAGATTACTGTGTGCTCCAACCGTAATATTAAGTGAAAAAGACTAGCTATTAAGAGTATCCCATAGGAATGCGCTCTATGGGAAGTTAAAGTAGATAATCTCTAAGATCTTTTAATTCTGAAATTGCATGTAGTAATCCTGCAGACTAAGAAAGCTTGATAAGGGCCATCAGTCAAAAGACAGTTCTGAAGAGCTTGCACTAGAGTTCCATAACTAGGCCCTCATCACTTAGCTCTGGTACTCTTGATGCTAGTCTAATAACCTCAAGTTTTTTTTTTTTTTTAAAAGATGAGAGCAATCCTTAATGAGGTTCTCTAAAAACCATGCTGAAACTTTGGTCTCCTAACTTGTTCTCATGAAGAACCACGTATTCCCAAAGCTGCTAGCTCTCCAAGAAGAGCAAAGGTAGGGAAAACAGTCCAGTGTTACTTCTTTATCCCAATTACTGATTTATTTAGACTATTTGGATAATGGACTGTGACCTGTTTTGACATATTCTGATTAATAGCACTATGAAATTGAGATCAATGATAGTCTAGCAGAATGATGATTTTCAGAATTGAAAGATTTAGTTTTAACTTTATAGTCAATTGATTTCTGTAGCTTACTCTCTGTATTCTTTTATTATACACTAAGGAAAAGTACTTACAACATAGTGCTTAGAAAGAATAATGAATTTTTTAAAACTTCACAAGCATAGAAACCTTAAAAAATCATGGTTCTATCTTCTTTTTATGAAGGAGGAAACAGAAGAACAGAAAGGGAAATAACTTGCAGTCACTCTTTCTTTGACCAAAGCCTAAGTAAGTCTCAGATCTAAGTAAGTCTTAGACTTATTCCTGACCAAAGCTAAATCTCTCTGATCACTGCCCTGATGCTTCCAAAACTTTAGTATTATTTCTTGCTACCCTCTCTTTTTTTTGAAGCAAGGTCTTTTTCTGTCACCCAGGGGTGTAATTATATCTAATTCCAACCTCAAACTCTTAATTCGAGTGATCTCTTATCTCAGCCTCCCAAGTGGTAGGAATTATAGGCTTGAGACACTACACCCAGCTAATTTTTCTATTTTTTTCATAGAGATAGGGTTTCACTCTTGCTCAGACTGGTATCAAACTCCTGGCCTCAAGCAATCCTCTTACTTTGGCTTCCCAAAGTGCTAGGATTACAAGGGTGATCCACTGTGCCTGAACTACTTTTTTATTTTTAAGTAAAACTTAAATTAGGTTTTAAATTCTTTACTAAGAAAATAATGTTTCTTTTAGAAAAAATTAACAGAGGATAACAATAATAAACATTCTTAATTCCACAACTGTTACTCCATGTTGTATGTCCTTTCATATGTATCCTGTGTTTCTGGCTTATTACTGACATTTCCCACTCCGGTGATACACTGGCCAGCATCCTGCTGACACTAGATAAGACAATTCTTCCTCCTGAACTGTATTCTACGAATGCCTACATCCTAATGGGCTAGTAATTAAATTTATCACATAATCTTGACATCCTGGTAAGAGAGTATTTTTTTTTCAAGTCTTACAAAGCCTGTCTATTAAAAAACACTTACATTATATTCTTATTTCTTGCTTAGTACCATTAATACCACTTCTTTACAGATATACACAAAAAGCTACTTTAAAAATCTTAAGGAGTTCTAAAGCAAGCCCCAGAAGGGTCAGAAAATTGCTTAAGCTTAAGATGAGGCGCACCTGTCGATCCACCTCTGGGAGTAGTAAAAGTAGTCGTTGTTGGCAATCTCCAGGAAGGACTGAAAAGGTGTGTTTGTTAATCAGCGCTCGAAGATTTGTATTAACCAGAATGGAGTCTGGTGTCTCAACGTCAATGTCAGCACATTTAGTCCTTTTCATTTGCCCTACAAAAATATGGAAAAGAATCATTAGGGCCTCCCTTACAGTCCTGTTTCTACCTTAATTATAGCTTTCTGTGCAGTACAAAAAAACACAGAAGTTTAGATGGCACACTGTGAAGAAGGTAACACTTAAGGATCTTAGAAATTTCTCCCAAGACTAACAAAACAAGTTTCATTTATTCATAAAGGAAAGAAGAATACAATTAATCTTCTCTGCAGAAACAGAACAAGGTCTGTAAAAATGGACCATCTGCCATACTAAAATTGCACTGTATGTTTAAGAGTAGTTTATTTCCCAAAAGAAACTGAGGAAGGTTCTGATAAATGACACATACAGAGAATGTTTAAGAATTAAAAACTAAAATCTGCTAATCATACTGATGCCCCTTTTATCCTTCCATTAAGACCTGCTTTCACTAATTTGCATTAGTTAAAAATGTTACAATTGAATGGCTTAATACACTTTTAGGAAATCTGAGCCACAACCAGAAGTTTATCATCTTTCCAAAAACTGACAGATGCAAGCAAACAAAGGGTTAAAATATCAATGAAAATATGAAAATAAATGAATATAGCCACATGACTAACATGTAAAAAATATTTGTAAGACATGACAATTACCATTCTTCATATGAAAAGTACATTTATAAATCAATGAGACAAATACCACCAAGAGAAATATGAGCAAAGGAAATTAAGGGGTAACTAATTCTTAGGCCACTAACCATAAGCAGGTGCTAAGATAGTACTTTTAAAATGCTAATTCAGGCTCAGCACCTGTAGCTCAGTGTCAGGGCGTCGGCCACATACACCGAGACTGGCGGGTTTGCATCTGGCAGGGGCTTGCTAAACAAAAATGACAACTG